AAGTACACCTCACGTAAGAGGAATCTCACCAACACTCAGGCCCAGACCAACATGCTCCAGGGTCGGCGCAAACGCGAGGAATATGCTGATTAGGGCGAGGAATCTGCTCATATGCCAGCTTAGGAAATTATGTGGTGATTTTTCCTATCTGCGATGCGTATGTTTGTTTTGTTTAACAATCAGGTCGCAGTTGATCGAGCATACAGTTGAAGCAGGGTTCACATCATAGGCTGATGATCCATGAGAGCTGGGACCCACTTCTACTAGTTGTGAGCAGATGCCGGGCACGTCCCATCTCAAAGCAGATGCAGGGCGCGGCCAACTCTTCAAAAAGGTGCACACGAGAATGATATGAGACCCAAAAATTACAGCCCCTTTTCGTCGGCACCATTCCGACTTTATTTGTCGGGTCGTTTTATTTTTCTTGTCCGGGCCGGAGATTACGAAAAATTTGTCGGCCCTACAACCCCGCCTCGTCGTTTGCTCTTTGTTTGACTCTGAAGCACCTTGAGCTTGAGCTCCTGCTCCAGGTTTCCAATTACCTCCGCTCAGAGTATGCTGCAGCGCAGGAAACTTTCAACGAGCTGTGTGGACCTCATCAGCTGCCTAGCATCAAGTTGTCATATCCTAGGACATCAAGTGACTTTTTCTAGACATCAAGTGAGATCAAACTCTGGGAACCTGGGAAATCATGTTCCATAGAGGCGGACACACCTGCGAGCTTCGAGAACCGCCTCTCCATTGACTTCACCAGTAACAAGGCCGGTGACACTGGCGAATTTCCCTTCAACGAATGACCAGCAGTATGTCTGAACTCTGTGCTTGTCACTGTTGAAAGAACAGAATTGCTTTTAGGCAAGGCTCCATCGCTTATCCTTCATGACAGGTTCTGCCCATGAAGCTATCGGGTGTTGGATCTGTTGAGCAAAGCATTATCTTCCGCAGCAGCCAGGGACTTAATATGACTTGATGTGCTCTTTTTCTTCGCAAGAGGGTTGGTGTTGCGACTCTCTTTGTCTTTGCTCGTCCTTTTTGATCTTTTGTTGTGCCTGTACACTGTCATCCCTGGAGCACCAGGTTTCTACTCAATGCTCTACACTTGTGGCCCTTGTCCAAAAGTCCACCCACCAGCCACCACACCACCACCACCATCATCCTCGTCCTCATCGTCATCCTCACCCTCATCGTCATCGTCATCGTCATTGACGTCATCATTGTCATCATTGTCGTCGCCACATCATCATCGTCCTCATCGTTTTCCACCACCACCACCGCCGCCACCATCACCATCACCGCCACCATCCCATCACCACCACCACCACCACCACTGCCACCACCACCACCAGCATCATCATCATCATCATCATCATCATCAAAATCATCATCATCATCAGCATCATTTTATTCGTTTCACGTGTTTTTCACGGTGATGTCCACCTTTCCCTCAGGTGGAGAGGCTTCGTTGCAGGCCGCTGATTCCATTCTGCTGGCATTTGGTGCTGGACAAGCAGTGCCCAATTTGCAAGACAGCAATTGACATCATGGTTTGATGCCCAGAAACTCAAGAAGGTAATAGTATGGAAGATTTTTGAAGTTACGTTGAAGAATAAACATAATAATGACAATACATATATATATATATATATATTTATAATGATATATATGTATATATAATCATATATGTGTATATGAAGCATTAGATGCCACATATATAATTGATATTGATATGGATGGATGTGTTGCATTGTTTCCCAGGAACAGGTGGAGCGTGATGGAGCACAATCCCGGGTCGGGCTTCCATCACTCTGTCGTAGCGTCTGACCAAGCCTTGGCAGCCATTAGTATATAATATTAGTTATCCATGTAACTTATCCCCATGGATCCCATGATATACCATGATATACCATGATATACCCATGATATACCCATGATACCAATTATCCGATTACCCCCATGGATCCTATGAGATCCCTTTGGAATCTGGTCATTCCAAAGCTGACGCTTCCTATCGCGATTGTACAAAGCTAAGCCTACGCTGCAGCCAGGTGGAGATCCTAGCTTGAGCTGAAGCTGAAGCTCAATGGATTGGTTTGGGAAAGACATACATGGATAAATGGATAGTGGGGATCACATATCCCTCATCTCGTGTGTATATCTTGTTCTTCTAAACATCAGCTGTGGAAATTGTCATTATGAATAAATATCAACTGAGCAAGCAATGTCAAAGATAGTGCGAATCTCAAGGCCTATAGGAGGGTTCACTCGTGTTGAGGTTCTTCACAGACATCACAAGGGACACCACAAGCACAAGCACAGAGGACACGGACCGAGTCTGCGGTGCTTGTGCTTGTGGTGTCCCTTGTGATGTCTGCCTGTGGTGCTAGCACTGGCAACTCCAGCAGCAGTGGTCGGTGGTCAGGTCTTCAGGGGTTTGACCGGTGTGGTAAGATAAAGTAACCATACAACCATGTGACCTGGTTTCCAAACAAAACCTGATGGTGCCTAGTTTCCAAAACTTCCATGACCTGGACAGCGTTGCTGCAAGGTTTCGTACTATGATTCTGAACTGCGAAGTGGCTGGAAATTCGCCCGCTCACAGCCACGAGAATTCAGTCTTTTCCACCAATGAATCAGACCAAAAAACATGATTACAAAAAACTATATACTTGCACATGGTGATACAGGAGAAAGAGGTAACAACTTGGCAAGGACTCAACCATTCCAGTTATTTGCGACCAGGTGTGCTTCTTCAAAACCATGTTTCACCTTTTCAATGATAAGTCATTGGTGGATAGGTTGAAGGAAATGATTCAGTTGGCAAAATCGCCTCCGCCCTCAGTACTCACGGAGGAATGGTGTATCCGGCTAGCCAAAAAGTGCCAAAGCATCAAGAAGAAATGCTTCTGGAAAGGTTTTGCTCAGGCTCTTGTGGATAGTGACTGTTTTTTGGCATAAGTGATAATTTTGCAGACCTGCGCCTCTGCAATTGCCTGTAAGACATTAGACGGAACCGATTGCTGTGGTCATTGACTCATCATCATGATAATCATGATAATCATGAAAATAATAATCATCATCATCAAACCCGCACAAACCAGCGCGAACCCGGGCGAAACCGCACGAACCCGGGCGAACGCGCGCAAACCCGCACAAACCCGCGCAAACCCGCGCGAACCCGCGCGAACCCGCGCAAACCCGCGCAAATCCGCGCGAACCAACGCGAACCCGCGCGAACCCGCGCAAACCCGCGCAAACCCGCGCAAACCCGCGCAACCCGCGCAGTCAAATTCGGACACGATCCCCGCTACACTGCAAATTTCACCTGAAAGGGGTCTTCGCAATTCCCTGAAATTTCCCAGCTATTTTGGCATGGAATATGTTCGGCCCTGGAATATGGGCAAGAAATTGCTAGAACTATATATAGTACAATTATAGTCATTATATTATATATATTTATAGACATACACATACAGATACACGTACATATGTATATACTTACACATTATATATATATAATTATATATATATATGTGGGATAGTACTATGGATTGGGCACTTTTTATCCCGTGCCGAGGTACCTCGGCCCCCCCGGATCTTCGCATCACGTGACGGTGCTCTCGCGGCGGCTTCGTTTTGCTCACTCTCCGGTGGGTCGTGAAAAACGGGTGAAATGCCCATGGCCTGGAAAGCTGCAAGGTGGGGATTCAATGGGATATAGCCATAGCTGATTTATGGCTAAGTTGGTTTGTACTTTTGTTGACTATTGTTCATAGTTTATAGATGTTGTAATGCTAGATTCTGGTAGATATAACTATATAAAACAAAAATGTGGGGTCAACATAAGTCAACAAAGCCAACCTTTGGGGGCCCCACGTTAGGGAAATATCTCCATGAATTCTTGGGGTTTCCCAACTGCTGATTGGGGGAACAGATCGAGGTTCCTGGGTTCCTGAGTCATGGGGCTACCCCTAGTTCTCATCCACTTTAGATCGGTTCTTTCCATGAAATAAACCATCCAGCTTTGGGGGTAGCCCGACTTAGGAAACCTCCATATATGCCATATACATATACTAATCCTAACGAACCACAAAGTGCTTTAAACCACATGTTCGTTGCCGTTGGTGATCCATTTGCTTACCCCTGGCAACGACTGGTTGATGATCCCATGTGATGGTTGTAAGCGGTTAACCCTGGCGATCGCAAGTCAGTGGCTTATCGCACAAAAAAAAAGTCGCACTGGGTTAAAAAAATATTGAGCTTTCCTAAGTCATGAGGGAACCCCAAGCCTCCATAGGTTTCAATAGACAACTTGATGGTCGTATTTTGGATGATTTCGGGGTACCTCCAGATGATCCTCCGTGAATCTCATCCAATTCGCTAGTGTTGGTCATTTGGACGTTCCAAGGAAGAGGGTACCAGCAATCTAAATGAAGGTTATATAAGTTATATACTTCTAACATTTTACATGTATCAACGTGTTGATGGATTCATATCATATCCTATTGCCATGTTGATTGAACAGATAAGAACCCGTTGAAAGTACCTGAGTGAGCCCCAACTACAAACACCGGAAGGGTTATCCCATTTTGAATTGGTAAACCAGTCGAAGTATCAAAATATACCCACTATAAACTCGTTATTTTAGCTTTGTGGTAAGCCCCATGCCCTAAACCTCCAGTGATGGAGGGTTGATTCAATCCACTTCCGGTGCATGTCACGGGGGCCATTTGGGCTGGATGCACTTGGAAGAAAATTCACATTCGCAGGCCTGAATTTAGAGGCAGCCAGCTTCAACACATCCTTCAGATCAACTTTGAATCAGCTAATGCTGTATATTATACATATACAATATGTACATATATATATATATATATATATCATTAATGATATTTATTTGAGCAGGTGCTTCAAATCAAAACTGCATCAAAACTGCAGCACTCATATTCCAACCGGCTACTTTTCAATGTTCACGATCGTATTCCACAGTGGTGCCATAGGAATTCTTACGGCCTTTGTTTGAGTTGTCGACATTTCGCATCGCGCAACTGCTTGGGAGCTATGGCGCGACCTGGATGAAGACTGGTGACGTCGGAGGGAACATTAGATTGTAAGAAACATTTTGTTTATTTGCCTAACATCCAAAGATAAAAAATAAGTGTCTACATATCATATTTTGATATGCATATAATAATAAGTACACGAAGCAGTGTATTGTTGATGGATAAGTCAACAATGTTCAGCGAATGAACATAAGAATTGCAGGAACAAGACTATTGTGTGAAGCAATGATGACATGATTTGGATATATATAATTATATGAACATAAGAATTGCAGGAACAAGACTATTGTGTGAAGCAATGATGATATGATTTGGATATATATATTTATATATATATATTTGGATGGTTATAAGCAACCCCCTGTATTTGCAGGTAAAAGCCATGGTTTTCGGTCAATATTTCCTTTGAATCAATCCATTGAGGTATAAACTATATGTATGTATATATATATACACTGTATATATATATATATGTAGATTTATAGATACCTTTTGACCAGAAAACATACACGTGTTTTTTTTTCTGATGTGTTTGACCGTTTTTTTTGTTTCCTGTGGACATGGCCGAGGCAAATCAAGCTGAAATGGAACAAGGAAGAATTCGACGTAACCATCGAGGAAGGCTCCAGCGTAGAGGCTCCAGCGTAACCGTGGGTTCTTGGGGTCCAGAATTCTGTCCTATAGCTATATCAATATATATCAACCAACGTCATTGCTGCTGGTATAATCTGGTATAAACCCAAAAGCATTAATTAAGTTGTCTTTCAACATTTCATTTTTAATTTGTGAGCAGAACGCCACACGTTCCAAAAATTGCTCGTTGCGCTTGCTGTGACGCTCAAAGGACGTCATGTTGCTTCTGTTCTGTTGATCAAGATCTCTAGTTTGGACAGAAACCCAGTTGTTCAACAAGATACCGATGTTTTTTAGGCAAGATTATGACGTTGTGAAATCAAACTGAATCTTCATGGTCATCCCCATTTTTTTTCCCGATGAACTTTTCATAATTGTCCATTCTAGTTGGCAACAAGCCCTGAAATCAACATTCTTTTATGGTGAATTTCCCCCTATCAATTCTATTGGTGAAGTTAAGCCCTGATTTTTGTTACCAAAGAGTAAGCAATAGTGCTAGACCTTGTAAAACCTATGCGAGACCTCCAAAACATTATAAAACCATATAAAACCATATAAACCTGTATAAAACCTATAAAAGTGACCTCCCCATTTTTCTGTTGAACGAGTCACCAAGTCGTTCCGCCAGGTCTTTAAGACGCAGGTGTGGACCTTAACCTCGGTGCCCGTGGACCGACAGAGCCTTGGACGCAGCCGTGGCCGAAAATCGGCCGTTGTGTCGGACAAAGTGGCCGGTGAACCAATTAATGGAAGCAATATTCCTATACCCATAGGATCCATGGTGCTGCTATATATGGTAACATGGATCCCATCAATATACCCCCTTTATGTTAGCATATATACCAGCACCATGGATCCGTCATGGGATATGGGGATGACAACCAGCATGAAATATGGTTTAATAGGGATGATTTGCTGGGATGGAATCACACAGTAATTAAAAAAATATTCTATAATAGAACAATGATAGGAAACAATAATGTTATACAATGAGTTCCATAGAATTAGGTTACCCTCTGATAATTTGTTACGTAGCAATTGAAGCCGTGGCCCATGGAAAGTGCGTTGATTTACCAAGCTATAAAATGGTGATTGTTCATAGTTACGTAAACATTTACCAGAGGGTACAATTGATGGAACCAAGATTCCTATATATTCCTATAGGAAACAATGATGGGAAACAATGGGAATAACTATGATAGAACCATGATGATCAACAATGATTAACAATAATCCGCTAGATTCTATATAATAAAATATTTTTTGGAATTGATAGGACAACTATGTAGTATAATTTGACATGGTAATGCAAATCTATATTCTATGGTCACAATATGTGTATAGGAATCACAACAATTATCAACCATATTCTATAATAGAACGATTGATGGAACCAATAGTAATGTAATAACTATAGAATATTAATCGAAGATCAACCACGGAGAATGTTTGTTAAATTATAGTTACATCTACATGGATATCTATGGGGTGTTCACGTTTGAAAGCAACTGGTTGAGGACGCAATTTTATGCAATGTTTAGTCGATTAGCCCATAGTCCATACCCCCTGCTAAAGCAGATCCAGGTTGGATCGTTGAATCGCCATATGTAATGGGTAAATCATCCGTTACTATCATAGCATCACCAACTCTGGTTCAAAAAAAGCCTTCAGTTTTCTAGCTTGTTTATTTTGGAATCAGGTCGCATCACGTGTTTCTTTGATTTTTTGTTGCATTCATCGTGATGAAATGAAGCACCGGGGGCGTTTACATCGGCTGAGGAAATACATCGGTTTCCCAGGCGGCATCCTGAAAGACTCTGATGATCTGATGGCCAAGGTGGCACAGTTTTCGGGGATTGGAATGTATTGGAATGGGGCATCGTTATCATTACATATGGATGTGGGTCAAAATGGAAGACCTAGGGGACCACAGATGTTAGTCTAGTTTAGTATTAACCATCCATAATTTTGGGGTACCTAATTTTGACCCATACATATCATTACTGTATATATCTGTATATGTGTTTCAAAAATATTGTTATGACTAATATGTTTTGTTATGACATTTTGTGTGCTGGGGTTGCTTGAGTTGAATGAACTATGATGAATATGTTGAGATATGTTGAAGATTTCATTGCAATAACACTGTCATGAAAGTTTGATGGTATCCAGCCCAAGAATGCTATCCAGCACAGTCAAGAAAAGGCCTATCCAGCCCGTAGAACTTCCATATGTTTTTTTTCTAACTGGGTTGATTTTCTCATGGATAAATGTGTGGAAATCTGTGGATTTCTGTCATGCAGGGTACGAAAACATGCTTTGTTGGTGATTTATCCTATCTTTGGTATTCCCCATAAAATTGGTCGTTATATCTATACCCAGTATAGTTGACATTACATATTCATACATATTCCATATCATTCCATTACATCCCAGCAAATATACTCATATTGTCTTGGTTGAAGTCTCCATATGTGGCTCAAGCCCTCACAAATCCCTCTTGTTTTTGCCCTTTTGGTGGATGTTCAGCTTGCCCAGGTGAACAAGCTGAAGCCTGGCAGCAAGATCACCCTGATGGGAACTCCGGAGGCGTCACCAATAAAAAGACGTCGAACATCAAAAAACAATCCACAAGCTCAACTATAATTGGTATTTCCAAATAGTATTCCTACCCATTTCCAAGCATTTCCATTTTGAACCACATCTAAAAAAAGAAAGCTACGAACCTCAACTGCTCACCGGTTGAACCGTTGAAGCTGGTCCTTCGCCAGGGCAAGGAGTTGAAGGCGCCCGAGGAGAAGACGGTCTTCGAGGAGGACTTGTCGCCGGAAGAGAAGGCGAGGATCCTCAAGGAGAAGCGCCTTGGACGACTTGTCCAGAGAGATGGATGGCCACTTTGGGCCCAGGGGATGCCAGGGGAGGAAGAAAGGCCAGCTGTTAGGTTGGAGAAAACATGAGAAACTCCCATGGAAAAAAGACTTGACTGATCTTGACTGTTGAAGTACTTTGGGTTATATATATATAATAATATAATATAATATAATATAATATAATGTAATATAATACAATATAATATAATATAATATAATATAATATAATATAATATATATAATATAATATGATATAATATTATATAATATAATCTAATATAATGTAATATAATACAATATAATATAATATTTTAATATATATATATATATAATATAATATGATATAATATAATATAATATATATATATATATACATGGGGAAAAGCTAATATGACCCATCATGAAAGCCTCAAAAACTGAGCCATGAGATGGCTTTGTGACATGCGCCTTTCGTGGATCTTTGCCAAGTGCACTGTGTTGCTATGTTTAGTCGACAGATGTTGGAAGTTACTTGAATAAGATGGGTGTATCTCCAATAATCTATGTAATCTATGTAAATTCATGTAAATTCGGAATTTGGTTGCAAAATAAAAAAACATGGATATTGATAATTATGAAAAAATATCGTGTTTTTGTGGGAGTCCTGGCAGATATTTTTTCTGAATGCATTGGAATATTTTGATTTTCGTTGCACCCCCTGGACGGCGTGTTGCTTCTGGGTTGGTCACTTGGTCGCTATGAATTCACAGCAATCCGAGGAAAGTTGAGATCCCACCGGCGGGAATCAAGAATTTGGGTAACACCTGCTACATGAACGAAGCTTGGCTGTGCTTGTGGCTGGAAGATCAGCTGGAAACTACCATAAGCGAAACCTGAAACTTCCCCTTTGGGCAATGGTTTATGACATTGTTTTACCCATTTTATATATAAATTGTATACCAGTGTATACCTCTCACTGACTCACGGACATACCCTAAGAAAATGGTCTGTACATGACCTCATTGCTATCAGAATTGATAGAGAGGACGGCATCGTCGGTTCTAAGTTGGTTTTAACCTGTCAGAAAATCCGGGATGTCTTGGAATATATATATATATATATTATACCCCAGTGTGATTTAAACAGATGCATCTATATTATAATCCCTTTCCCCTCTTACCAAACGGTCCCACCGGTTCCCCCCCAAATAACAAACACCTGGAGGAGTTTTTAGTATTAGGGTGTATTTAGTATTAGGGTGCGAAACTTCCCCGAATAAACAAGTACAATTTTCTGTTTCAAAATCGATTGGATGACCTTTTCAAATCTAATTAGATCTAATGAACATATTGCCAAACATTGGATTTCGAAGCTTTCCCCTAATATTAAATTAAAAGCCTTAATATAAAACAAAACTTGAAAACCAATATTTCACAATCGATTAAATGTCCCTTTAGTATCTAATTAGAATATGGCCGAAAATTGGATTTACATACGGAGAAATAGCTGGACTTGAAAACATCTAGCGGGATCATGAGTTTGAACAAACTTTCAAGAGGGCGAACAAGCTGACAATGAAAGGTCGAGCTTAGGTGGCGGATCACACTTTTCAGGCAGGAAAGCGTTTGGATTGACCACATGTGGAAGCGAGGTGACTGAAGGATATCGATCGCAGGGCACACGGATCAGCATGGTCGGTTCAATCGAAGAGTTTCAGATCAGACACATGGCTAGAATGGCTGGTTCGGGAAGTATGGGTATGGCCCGGAGGATACGCAGCATGCTGAGCAGTGATTTTGAGGGTTCTCATGCAGTGTCACGCAGGTGTGTGAAAAGAAAAATGTCTGGGCAATCCTCGGCGTGTTACATTCTGGAAGCAAGAAGAGAAAGAAATATTGCTGTTCATGAGCCGACACTTGAGAACGCAGTGTTGAGTCTGCTTCTGAGGGGCGCATCATGCTATGCGACGCTAAAATACGCAGTTCTGGCTGCAGAGATGACAGCAAGGGGAATCTGCTGTCTCAGGAACAAGGAAGATATCAGGATAATATGGAACGCGAGGTTACCAGTCTATGATCAGAGACATATCAAAACTCATGTTCTTCATGTGCATGTGCACAGTGGAGGGTGCTTCAGAGCTCTTGGACGACTTCGACGATGTGTGGCACGTGGGAAAGACGTCGTATGCGAGGGAAGTTTTTCACAAGGGAGAAGCCATCGCCTCGAACGACGTGGCTTTCGTTCTCATACAAGCCTTGATCAAAAGGTTGGTTGAAGACGAAAACCCTGAAAGAAACGCTATAATCCAATCCAACCATCACTAACAATGATACATGGACTAGTTCCTTACCAGGTACACATTCACCCATGGCCATGGCCATCCCCCGGCAATCGACATCTCCCCATGGCGTTCGTCCCGTTTGTCCCGAGGCAACGTTGCAATGTCTGCATCACGTGCCCGATCTCAAGGAGGCGATTTCAGGCTACCAGCCTCCGGCCGCTGAGGCGCCCCCGGCTGGGGAGATGATCCATGCAGTGATCCGAAGAAGTCACTTCTTAGTCACCCCACAAAAAAAAAAAACTGCTGTGTAACTGAATGTAATGTTATGTACCTGATGAATTTGTTCATATAACTCAGGAACTAGAATATATAGTGAAGACTATTGAAGATTTTGTGTTTGGTAGTTTTAAGCTTTAAGGCTTTTAATATGGGTAAGTAAGCTCTTTAGGCTGAAATCATCCCCAGCAGGAGAAGTGGGCTACAACCTGTAAAGGCCGAACAGTTCAGATTGGCGAATTTTAACATGATTTATAGTAGCTCAAAAAATGGTCGGTAGAAAAATCAAAATCCTGTAGAAAAATCAAAATCCTAATTAAACACTGATTGATGATGTTTCTATAATGTTCTATCTTTTTGGTAATTTCTATATCCAGGAAAACACATGATGAATGTACAACATGCGTTTGAAACCTTGATATTTCGGGGTTTCCCCATGGTTTCCGGTGAAGATGTTCCCTGGAAAACCAACCCGTCCGATGGTGAAATATACAAAAAGCCATTGAAGCCATGGCCATAGAAATCGTTGAATTACCCATTAAAAAAATGGTGATTTTCAATACTTATGTAAACGTTTACTGGAGGGTATCATGTATGTGAGAGAAGTGGGAACATCAGTAGAGCGATGTTAATATATTCATGTTCATCTTCATTAAAAGCCACGTCATATGTCACATATGTCATAAAGTCATATCATATGTCATATGTCCATATATATAACTATTGCAATATTGTTTGATTTCAATATTGTTATTATCCACATATACTATATGCATTATTTATATGTACTTCTCACATATATATATATACATATTTCCCATTATCCTATAACCCATAGGTTCAACCCCTATGTTTCAACCCGCTTTACCCTCTGCCAGGCTCGGGATATCGATGCGGCGACTTGGAAAAATATATCTTTGGCTAGTTAAAAACCATGCTTCACGGGTAAATCCATGGTAAATCCATTGGAAAATCAGCATATAAATCATCTAATATCATCTGTTAATATTGGATCTTCCCCATGTTAAATAACCAAAAAATCCGCAATGCATAGACAATTGAATCATCCAGAGTATAATGTAATGTGTCATTAAAACATATATATATATATGCGTATGCTATTATACCAATTTTGAATCCTCAATTCTCCTCATTGTCTCTTCAAATCCCAATATTTGGGGAAGACAAGACCGGCACGCAGCAATACATACGTTACATCACATTACAATACATTACAATACATTACAATACATTACAATACATTACATTACATTACAATGCATTACATTCATTACATGACAATACAATACATTACAATACATCACATTACAATACGTTACATTACAATACATCACAAAACGTTACATTACAATACATAACAATACATTACATTCATTACATGAGCGCTCACATGACAGTACAACACATTACAATGCATTACATTACAATACATTACATTACAATACTTTACATTGCATTACAACACATTGCATTTCAAAACATTACATTACAATACAATACATTACAATACATTACAATACATGACATTACAATACATTACAAATCATTACATCGCAGTACATTACAATACATTACAATACATTACATTCATTACATGAAAATACATTACAATGCAATACATTACAATACATTACAATACAATACATTACATTACAATACATTACATTACAATACATTACATTACATTGCATTACAATACATTGCATTACATTACATTACAATACAGTACATTACAAAACATTACATTACATTACATTACACTTGCTTTACAATACATGACATTACAATACATTACATTACATCAGATTACATTACAATACAATACATCACAATACATTACATTGCATTAAAATACATTACAATACATCACAAAACATTACATTACAATACATAACAATACATTACATTCATTACATGAGCGCTCACATGACAGTACAACACATTACAATACATTACATTACAATACATTACATTGCATTACAATACATCACATTACAATAAATACATTACATTGCAATACATTACATTACAAAGCATTACATTCATTACATGACATTACATTACATTACAATGTATTACATTACAATACATTACAATGAATGACATTCATTACATTGCAATACATTACATTCATTACATGGCACTACATTACATGACAATACAGTGCATTACAATACATTGCATTGCATTACAATAAATTACAATACATCACAAAACATTACATTACAATACATTACATTACATGGCAATACATTACATTACATTACAATACATTACATTACAATACATTACATTGCAATACAGTACATCACAGTACTTTACAATACATTACATTCATTACATGACAATACATTACAATACATTACATTACAATACGTTACAATACATTACATCACATGACATTACAATACAGTACATTACAATACATTACAATACATTACAATACATGACATTACATTACAATACGTTACAATACATTACATGACATTACATTACAATACATTACATTACAATACATTACATTACAATACAATACGTTACAATACATTACATGACAATACATTACATTACATTACAATACATAACAATACATTACATTCATTACATGAGCGCTCACATGACAGTACAACACATTACATTACAATACATTACATTACAATACATTACATTACACCACATTACATTACAATTCATTACATTACATTACAATCCATTACAATACATTACATTACAATACATTACATTACATCACATGACATTACGTTACAATGCATTACATTACATTACAATGCATTACATTACATTACATGACAACACATTACATGACAATACATTACAATACATTCATTACATGACAATACATTACATTACAATACGTTACAATACATTACATCACATTACATTACAATACAGTACATTACAATACATTACACTCAGGAAGCGTTCGAAGGAATTGGTTCCTGGATTTGGCAGACTATTATTACTTTTTTTTTTCCTGGGGGGGGGTGGCAGACTATTATTACTTTTTTTTTTCTCTGGGGTGGGGGGGGGCCTTATGATTATTATTTTTTAATTCCTTTCTTGTCCTTTCCGGGATCGCCACTAATTTAGTCTACGGAAGCTTTTTCGTGCATTGAAATTAGTCTTGTGAGGCTTTCCTGTCCTTTCCGGTTTTTTTTCCCCTAGACTAACTATATATGCAAAAAAAAGTCCCCTAGACTAAATATATTTTCCAAAAAAAGCCCGTAGACTAAATATATATTCAAAACAAAATCTGTAGACTAAATATATCTTCAAATAAAAATCTGTAGACTAAATATATCTTCAAAAAAAATCCGTAGACTAAATATATATTCAAAAAAAATCCGTAGACTAAATATATTTTAAAAAAAAACCGTAGACTAAATCTATTTTCAAAAAAAAATCCCTAGACTAAATATATCTTCACAAAAAATTCCCCTAGACTACATATATCTT